CAGCTTTGAGTTAACGGTAATATTGAGTTGCAGAGAAACCTTTCAACATGCTTTCAATTAATTAAGAGCAACTTTTTAAGCTGGATTTGCAATTAGCAACAACTGGGAAAAAAGCCAAGAAAAAAAGAAGCTTTTAATCACAGCATTAATAATGTTTTGTATTATCAGAGTGTATTCACACACACACACACACATACACACACATGCAGATGCATATTACAAATCATAAATTAAATCTGCAATCAGGTGATGCCGTTAGTTTTTGTAGCTGCGAGACCCACACAGCAACGCAAACATACACACACACACACACACATACACCCGCACAGTTGTTGTGTGCGTGCAAGTATTTATAATTTGCAGTAAGCTACCATCCAATCATTAAAATTTAGGTGAGAGAGACAGAAAGATAGTGATATACGTGTGAGAGACAGTTGGGAGGGGGCTGGTTAGGGCAATGAAGGCGCAAAACAAAAACACAAATACAAAACACATAAGAACAAAAACGAAAAAAAAAAATTAAAAAAAGAGAAGAACTGAAGCAGTTTATGTCAATTATGATATCAATTGTTGCCATGCCAACAGCGCAAGAGAGCGCGGCGAACACATACACACATACATAGATATTGCAGTTGAATAACTGTTGTTATTTTGTAATACATATGTGTATATGAATGTGTTTTTCGCGACCTCTCGTCTTCTGCTCTGTGCGGCAGTCAGACACTTGAACTGCTTGAAGTCTGTCTGTAACTATGTTGCATTGAATTTGAAGCGCCTCTTGAGTGCTTGTAGTGCTTGCCACTGGGAACACCAAATGAAAATTAATCAATAGGTAATTTTCAATGGTCATTAGTAATGTTTTCCATTTATACTGAAACTTCTTTAGGCTTGCAAAGGCGATGGGCGTCGCATGCTGCATGCTGCATGCTGTATGTTGCATTTGCATCGAAAGATGGCAGCTCGCTTACTTTGCTTGCATTACTGTCATTTCTATGGTCGCAAATTGAGGTGAGTGAACTTGCATCAGTGGCAGCAACAACAACAGCAACCAACAACAGCCAGAGAAACTAACAACAACAGCAGCTTACCTCTTGGGTGACTCTTCTAGCTGGAGTGAAGCCAACTACACAAGTTTCCAACATTTTCCCGTAGCCCGCCCACGCACTGAAAATCTGATAATGAAAAACAGGGGTCTCATAAATTTAGTATTCAATTTGCAGTCTTTACCTTGCATTTACTCACAACTCCGTTATTCTATGTTTGCTTGTAAGAGTCTTATAAATAAGATAGGCTTTGCATGTTAGCAACTAGAATGAGATTGTGGGTATATTGGTTTTCTCTCAGTGCAATGGGATAAGTGGACAAAAGGAGGCGGTGCATTGATCAGGGCTTGCTCTCTATATGGCGAAAATGAATCTATAAAAATACAACTATAAGAGTGAGTTTCAGAGTAAGTCAAAAAGTTGTTTTTAAATAACGATAAAATTCGATAACACTCTTCATTTAGTCAACTATTTCTTCACAAAAATTTATGGATGTGAGATAGAAGACTTGCTTGACTATTAGATGCTGGTTAGAGTATTCAGTAGTCGGTCAGTTCCTTCTCTGAATGCAGCTCGATTTGGGCTTTTATTTTGGCTTCTGTTTTTGTTGGGCTTCAAAGTTTGCTTTTAATTACGCCAATTTCACTCACCTTGCCTTTTCCCTATAACAATTGTGGTTTATATTCTGAATATTTCCCTCAGCAGCCTTCGTTTTTCCCAACTCGTTTTCAATTAGAGCTCCCAACGTTATTGTGCTTCGTGCTCCCAATTTTAGTGCCTTGTTTATGGCAAAGCGATTTGCTGGTTGAGGTGCGAATTTAGTTAATGAAACGAAACATTTAATTGATTGCCATGCAAAAATCGAATGCTTACTTTAGGTGCTGCTCGATCATTGCTGCAGGTGAGAAATGAGCAATCAGGTATGCGCCCTGAGGACTGAGGGGTAGGGCAGTAGGCAGAGATATAGGAATAAAACCTGATATCGCTAATCAAGATTGATTGACAAACGATCGAACAGCTATAAACATTGTGAATTATATATTGTTAATCTAATCAATTTGGGCTTCACTTGTTGTTCTTGTTGCTGTTGTTGTCTTCGCACCTGGCAACGGGCACAAATATCAAGCAGACGCCGAATAAACAAATAAAAAAAAAAAAAAAAAAAAAAATCACCATATATCTGCATTCTCACTGTGTGAATAATATATTAAATATATACTTAGTTTTAAATTGCAAAATAATTTAAGAAACTTAAGTAGGAATTTCAATATAAAATATATGACATTTTTACAGTTAATTACATAATAATATATATGTATTTTTGTTATAAATATCATATTGATTTTATATTTTTTTACAAATATTTTTTTATGTATTCATTTAGTTTGGTATTTAAGGAAATTGTGTAAATGGGAATCAGTTACAATTAGTTTGGCTGCCACTTGATCTATTCAATTGCCCCCGAGTGTGTGCGAGTGTGTGCTCATGGATGTGTGTGTGTGTGTGAGTTGGGTGCCCCACATCTTGCGTTATATTTGATTATTTCGAGTAGGTTTAATAATATTGTAAATGGATTTTAATTTGCGAATGAGTTGATTAGGCAGATAATTGAAGCATTAATGCTTGACTCAAGTAAAACGGAAATTCAATTAGCTCAATGCGACGCTACCTGCTGCCTGCTCTACCTGGTGGCAAGTGTGTGGCATGTGGCATGTGGCAGGTGTCAGCTCAATCAACAGCAGAACAGTTGGCATACGTGAGAGTCGAATTCGAATTCAGTCACACAAATAATGAGGTGTATTGGTTTCAAGCAATATTTTCCTGATAGGGAGTAAAAGCAAGATGGAAAGACTTTTGACTTCTTAATGAAATGCACCTACTTATTTCCCCCTGTATAAGGCTCGAGTTAGATCTGTTCAATTAGGGTATTTCTGCAATGTGAACAAGTGCTATTCAGCTGTGTATACCCGACGGTATTTTACACATTTTCTCTTGGCATTTGGCAGGTTTGCAAAATAGTTTTTAATACTATTTGCATTTCTATTTTCGACTCGCGTGACTCGTTGTTTGGGTCGTGCAGCTCGAAAGGAAAGCAACATAGGCAAGAAGAAGAATGGGAATTGAAGAAAAACAATTTATATATTGTTAAATTATATTTAAAATAAATAATTGTGATGCTATATAGAATATTGAGACATCCTCCTGTCTGCATCTGTCTGACTGTTTTGGACACGTTGTCAGGTGGGCAGGCCATGGCTGCAACAAAGGATGCACGAGGTGAATGTCTTTATTTGACTGTTGGCCACAATTGCAAAATATCAAAAGTTAAAACAGAGAGAGGGCGAGCGAGAGAGGGAGAGCGAGGGGGAGGGAGATGGCAATCTTTGCTGTCTTTGACAGCCAGACAGAAGGGCTTTGTGTGAAAATATTTACAATTAAAGCGAGCGCTGTTTTAATTACACTGGCCAACATGATTTATTAACCAATAAACAGAATATATACACTTTCTGCTCTCTCTCTCTCTTTCTCTCTCTCTCTCTCTGTCTCCCACTCTCTCTTGCTCTCTCTCCCTCTCACTGGCTTGATATATTTGTCTTTGCATTTGGCAAATGAGGCAGTTTATTTCGATACGCATTGCTATTTAGAGTGCGCAGCTGTGCTGCCATTTAAACTAGCAATGCACCCAGCGACTATTTGTCTGTCTTTCAGTCTCTCAGTCTCTCTGCCTCTCTGCCTGCTTATCCCATTGCCCGCCTCCCGCTGTCGATAAATCAATTTACAAAGTAGCGTCAGATGTGCACGTTGCAGCAATTGAAACAATGCCAAAAACTATTTGGTGCAAGTGCTTATATATGCGCTTATCCTATATATATATTCTTATTTATATATACATCTATCAATCAGCTGCTGATGCATGGGCATCTCAATTGTTGGCACATTGAAATGCACGCACAAATTTCTCAAATGCTTTGATTTTGGCGTTTGCTTTCCCTCTCCTCTTTCATTTCAAAGAGTTTACTAGTTACTATATATGTATGTATTCTATATGCACGGGTTGTGGTCATGAACTGTTGTTTTCGATGGACTTAGCCATGTCAAAATGTCCAGTCCAGGTTGTCCCATTGAGCAAGCATTCTGGCTGCAACTTGAGAAATCGACGTAGATTATATACCATGTAAATATTTTATATAGACAAAGTGAACTAACGAATCTATAGATGCTGTGCTATTAATTGCGCTGTTTTGTTGCACAATTTGTTGTTTATTAGAGAGTCATTGAACCTGAATGCAAGGTAAGAGCTATCAAGCGTTAGTTAATGTAATAATGACAAACCGCAGCAGTAATCAACGGCACTCATTTAAGCTAGCTCGCCCTCTGTGTGTGCTCTCTGTCTATATATGTACAAATTTGTATATTAATATGTAAATATATGTATGCGCGGTCAAATGTGTGCAATTTACGTCAGAGCTGTGGTAGCCACGGCAACAGTCGAAATTAGCAGCAATAAGTGCGAACCTAGCATTATTTGTAGCCACTCTCGGCTTACGCTGCGTATGCGCGATGTGCAAGCAAGCTACGTATACGCAACGTGTGCTAGCCAGAGTCACACACACACGCTCACATATGTACATATAAGTATATATAGTGAGTGAAATTCAAGGCTTAACTTGGATTAATTACAGTTAAATGTAATTTTATTGATTTTGTATGCATTGCTCTCAAAGTAAAATGGAATCAAAATATGAAAATTTATTTAATACTTTTATGAAATAAAATCAAAGTGCAGTTCTCTGGATTGTCGTTAAAATTGTATAATAATTCATGTTGTATTCACTGCATTTAGGTGGCATTTAAGCAGCATTGCGTATATGTATCACAGTCAAATTGAATTACTAATTGCATCAACTGAAGAGTGAGAAGAGTGAGACGAGAAGAGTGTTACGTATACGCACTGTGTGACTGCTAATGCTCAAGTAATTATTTTGTAGCTTTTCATTTATACTGTATTTCATTTACAAATTATTTTGTATTTTATAAATGATACGCGAAACGAGTTCAATGCAGGCTTTCTTCCCTTGCATTAGTAGCGTCGAATATTCATTTTGTGCGGGAACGGCGACATCATTGGGAGGAAGCGTGACTAGAGTCAGGCCCAATACTTTCAAGCCGCAGTGTCTGGCGATGATTACCTAAACAAGTGAACGTATCACTGAGTTTGATGAGGACTCTGTCGAAGGGACTCACCTCTGGCACCATGGATATGCCGATGACATCGGCTCCAATCTTGCGCAAGAAGCGCTGCTCGGCCGCCGTTTCGTAGCTGGGGCCACCCATGCAGACATAGACGCCTGTCTTTATCCGGTTATCCTGCCCGATTTCCCGACTGATTTCCGTTGCCTTGGCGAGCAGCATCTCGTCGTAGGCATCGATCATCGAGGGGCGGCGCTGGCCAAAGCGCGCATCGTTGAGGCCAATCAACGGGGAGTTGCCACACCAGCCCAAAACGTTGATGTGGTCCTTGATGGCCACAACGTCGCCCACATTGTGCTCCGCACTGATCGCCCCCGCAGAGCAGATGAGAATCAGGTACTCGACGCCACACAGCTTGAACATGCGCACAGGTAACGTACAGCTGCCCACCGGGTTGCCTTCGTATACGTGCATTCGTCCCTGGACAGCGATCACTGTGCCGCCCATGATCTGGCCCACGAACAGCTTGGAGTTGTTCCCGTGCAGTGGGCTGACCGGGAACTTCGGTATGTCCGTATACTGAATTACCACCGGACTCTCGACCAAGTCGGCCAGCATGTTCACATGCGAGCTGAGGATCAAGCCGAACTTTGGTTTCTTCTCCGTTCTATTGATGATGAAATTCGCCATCTTTTGCACATCGTCGAAGCTGTAGAGCTCTCCCTGTGGCGTCTCAATGATGTCCTTGGGCTTCGCATTGGCTTCCTCCTGCAGCCGCTTCTCAATCAGCAGCTTCATTCGACGTATCGTCAGAGCCGTCTTGAGCGCGCAGCAATCCCTATTACACATTTTGATATTGCGATTCATTTTGGGACAGTTACTGGGATCAAGGGGGCTCAAGAGGCTTTCAAATTTTGCTTTTCAGTAAATATGGGTTTTTGTTTCCTTTACATGCTCAAATTAAAAATTAAAAAATCTTTGATATAACGATGAGCAACTGCTTTATTTTTGTGTTTCTTTTCTTTTTCATAGCCATTAAGGAATGAAATCATCGCTAAATCTATATATATATAGTCAATAAACTATTCTACTTACCTTTTCAAGTTGCCATTATGATAACATTATTTCCTCTTTGAAGAGCGGAAAAACTCCTTGAGAAAGACTTTTATTTACTATATATTCTGTTTGCTTACTCTCAAAAGCCAATATACTCAGTTTACTCATAAAATGTCGCTCACCCGAACTCAGTGACTCAAGAGCTCTGACTTCATTCGGAGTGATATTCTGTGTCCCTATAAAAGGCGAGCTTAGAGCAGAGTTGCCTTAGTTGAATTGCTGATCTCCTGCTGATTAGTCCCAGTGAAGTGAAGTTGTGGTATTTATCAGTAAAACATTTTTATTTGTTCAATAATTTATTGATAAATATTAGCTATTATAAGTATATTTAAGTTACTATGACAAATAATTAATGTTAAAATATTTTATTTATAACATAATATCGTTGTCTTTTTTTTTTTTTTTTTTTTTACTTTTATTTATATAAAAAGAATATCATCGGTAAGAATTAATAATTAACAAATAAGAAGAATGCAAATGGTTATAATAATAATGATGTTCATTGTTAAATTAATGATAAGGGAAGTGATCATTATGATAATGATGTTTATTATCAGTAGCATATCATGATATTGCTGATCTTCGCATCATGTTTATCATGATCATTAACTTAATAATGATCAACGTACTAATGATCATCAGCATCAAAATAATTGCAATCTGCTATACTAAGTCAATCACATTACGATAATCTAGTTCATCTCCATCATAAAGATCATTGTAATAACTCTGATTATTATGATTATTATGATTTTTGTAATGCTCATGATATTACTTAGCTATAGAGAATGTGTAAAATGTCTTTTGTAGCTTTTAGTTAACATATTTCATTCAGATTTGAATTCTCTTCATTTTCGTGCATTTCTGTCGAAGCGTATAACGCATTTACTATTTGCTTTTCATGATAAACAAAAGCTACGTCTCAACGATTCCAACGTCATTTCAGACTTGTAATTTATATCATCGCATTGATTATAATCTTTGCGGTTTGATCGAAGCCAGCATAGCAGCAATGTCAACAGCGAATGGTTAGCGAACGTGACTTTGTAGGCGGCAACAGCAACAATAACAGCAACAATAATAAAAAACAAGTAAGAAAGCTCTAGTCGAGACTGCTCGACTACGAGATCCCCTGAACCCTTGGAGCAATAGATATTTCAATAATTTTTCGCGACTTTCAGTTTACACAAGAAACACGCACACACACACACACACACGCACGTACGCACACACAGGCATACATACACACACACGCATACAGACACACATACACACACACACGCATAAATACACAAACGCATACACACACACATATACACACACACATACACAAACACATACACACACAAGCAACCACGCATAAACACGCATGGGCTGCAGTGTGCGCTTACTATGAGAACTTAATTGTTTAATAACTTTTTTTATGGACGTACGATCTTCATGAAACTTTCAGATTATAATTATAACATGAATATGCATGTAATTGCCAAAGCACAAGTCTCTAGTATTTGAAATACGCTTATTACAAAAGTGAGGGTGAGGGAGTGAATTTAGAGGTGGGGGGGGTAAATTTTAACAAAAATCGAAATTGTATAAATTGCATATAAGCATACATTAAAAATTTGGAGACTCTAGCAATAAAGGTGTAGAAGATATAATTTTATAACTGGGTTTCGATAAGGTTTTTTATCGATAAAAAAAGATCGAGATGAGTTATCGATTTTTAATGATAAACTTGATATGCGCGCTGTAATTACGGACATTTTAAAAAAAAATTGAAGTCTCTAGCTCTTATATCTTCTGAAATCGACGCGTTCATACATACGGACAGACGGACAGACGGACAGACAGACGGACAGGGCCAAATCAACTCAGCTCGTCACCCTGATCAAGAATATATATACTTTGTGGGGTCTGCCACGCCTCCTTCTCCCTGTTACATACATTTCAACAAAACCATTATACCCTGATTTCCCATTGAAAATGGGTTCAGGGTATAAAAAAAACAACAACAACACTACTCAAATAACAAAGCGCTGCAAAGTTTTCTATTTCAGTTTTGTTGTTGCTTTGCGCTTCGACTTTGTTATTGTAAAATTAATAAATTTATAGCGACGGGCAAACGCTTCAGCGATTCACTCAGTGCCAGCGACTCTGATCCGCTGCCCACTCTATATATAGCTATGTAAATATGTGGGCGTGGCACAGCCTTCACCACGCCCAGTCGATCTGTCAAGCAGCACTCACAATTTCCAGCTGCGGCTGTTGACAGATGCGCGCCGAAAAAAACCGCATAAACAAAAAAAAAAAAAAAAAAAAAAAAAAAAAAAAATAAAAATAAAAATAAAAATAAGTAAAGCTGCTTTATGGCAGAGGGCACGACTATGGAGATACCTTAACTATGGAGAACTCGTTTCGTGATACAGTCACAGTCGTCTTATACCTTTGTAGAGCTACAGAGTTAGACTATAAAATAAACTACTATTCCTTTGTCTTATACTGTATTATACTGTATTAAACTCCCTATTCTACACTCAAACCAATATACCCTTTCTGGCGCTTTGGTTTGGGTGCAGGGCAGAAAGATTAAAAAAAAAATTTGACTTGTGGGGTTGACTGTTGACAGATTGTTGTTGCGGCATCTGCTGTTGTTTATTGGTTTACCCTATTAATTAGCAAAGAAATAAGTTATAATGGCATCCACTGGCCAGCAGCCAGCAGCCAGCAGCCAACAGCCAACACCCAGACAGACAATCAACGACAACAATTTGAATTGTTTATCAGGCGGGCAGGCCACATGCATTTTGTTTATCCCCACAGAGAGAAAGGGAGAAGGAGAGGAAGAGAAGGGCAAACAGAATGCAAATGAGGCTGACTATAAGTATAAATATTCTGTGTAGAATCTAGCAACAAGTACAACAGCAACAACAACAACAAATAGTACTAGAATGGCAAAAGTACCTTGCCTGATATTCAATGATGTCGGACAACAGGTCGTATGCTTGTGTTTTCATTTAAATCACGCATACGCATGGTAAACATCTGATGGGTGCCAAAACAAAAGATAGTGCTCGAAATAATATGATTAATTGCGATCTACGTGTTCCATTTACGTTTTGCAACAGCTCCACATTTACACACAAAAATCCTCTTTTGTTTCAGTTGTTTTCACATGACTCACAATGCACAATTAAGCTGCTTATTATGGTTACGAATTACACAAAGGAATATTTTATATATATGAATGTAAGTGTGTATAAACATATATACATTTATATGACATGATATATATGTAAAGATGGGCGCACTAAAACACAGCTGAAATGGATGTCATTCGATTTGCGATACTCGTATATCCCGAACTTAACTGAGTCATCAGGTCTTCATGCCTTTGTTCAGATGTGTGCAGCAGATAGAAGCAGGCGTGGCAGATGCCATTGAGTAAACATATTGTTGAGCTGGAGGACGCCATGTCCATCCCAATATCTAGATAGCTTGAATTTAATATTTTGTATTGATTATGATTATGAAATGTCCTTGGCAGTTCCTTCATATTTGCTGTCATTCGGATGTAATAGTTTCTGAAAACTTTACCAATTTAGCAAGTTTACAAGTTATTCAATAACTCAGCATAATCCAAAAATCAAAATTAGCTGCAAGGGCGAGGTATTTGCTAGTCGGTCTATTCCGACTGGGGGGCTTTTATCTCTTTGTCTTCTCCATCATCTAGTTTTAGCTTTGCATATGTGCATATATATCTTTTTTTATTTACTATAGCTAACATTTTCGTCTCTCTCATGCTCCTCTTTTTGCAGTTTTCTACGCTCGCCAGACGTGAGTGAGAGTGATTTCGGCCAGGCGGCTAGCTGATACCAATGAAAGCCAATGCTAACAGCGATTGCAATTATATTAGTGCATGCGGCGAGTCAAGCGTTGCTAGAGAACAGTTGAAGCGGAGGGTGAAGCGCGAGCATCGCAGCCATACGTACAAGTGTTTGAATCATAATCCGTTAACAAGGCTCAAGCTGCTTGAACAGCGACGCCAGCGACTGCAACCTCTGTTTGAAGTTTAGCTACGAAAGCAGCTCCTAACCAAGAGCCGAAGTTCAAGCTGTTGACGTTTCTGCCTTTCTTTGACTTGTTTCCATTTACGCTGGCTCTGGCTCTGGCTCCAGCTTTATTGTGGCCTCTAGTTTCGACGACCGCCTGTTGCACAAAACTCAAAGCCAAGGCAGTTGCCTTAATTGCCCCGACAACCACAGCAACAGCAACAGCAACAAAAACAACAACAGCAACAATCAGCGAGGAGAGTAAAGAGAAGTTCCACCGAAAACGAAATTCTGCAAGTGAAAACTTACTTTATAATCAAGCAGCACACTGAGCGAGCGAAAGAGAGAGAGAGGAAGCGAGAGAGAGGAGAGAAATCTAGATTGTGAATGACAACGAGTCGGGCAGCTCCTTTAGCTACAAAGCAGCCAAGCTGACTCTGACGAGTTTCCTTTACAGTAAAAAACCAGTAACTGTAACTGGAACTGGTATCCGTCTACATACACATATAAACGATTAATATTATCAGCGACTCAACTCACACACATATATCCACACACGTACGCACACACACCAATGTACTGGGCTGTTGATTATTACGCGGAAATGGGACAAATCTCACAAGATGTAAGTAAAATAATGATATATTTCTTATACTGCACAAGTGAAAACATTTAGAAGACCAAGTTAAAGTTCCTTAGTTAAAATGACAAAGACATGGTGGATTGCAGAGGAGACAGTATGTGCATATATTATATACATATGCGGTATACGATTGAACAGATAAGACCTACTGGCAAAAATACAAGAGCTATCTATATCAAGGCG